ATTCGCTGTCTTTAGTCCTGTTCAGCATTGGAGGAGACAAGTACCTGATGCCCCCCTCCCACAAACACACATTCATCTTCTAGTATATCCGCACCAGTCTTCCACTTTAGTATGAAGTTGCCTGCAGCAGTATTCAGCTCATAGAAGAGCACATGTAAGGCCCTGTGCCTTCTCTAGTGACACAAAATAAAATAAAATGCTGAGTCTTGTGTTACAGAGGAACAGTATTGCAGCCTCGAGACATCTAGTCCTCGAGGACAAGCAGGCAGATGCACCAACGGACTGGCAGAAAGGCAGCATAAAATTCCATTCTCCACAAGAGAAGAAGGACAGGTTTGTCAAGACGTACTCCATTTGTACAGCAGGACAAATTTCCTATACAGCTTAGCAAATGCAAACAACCTGGAGGTCAGAGCACAGAGCCAGATCAAATCAGTGTGTCCAAACACAGTTAAAGTCTTGAATGAAAGCAAATCAAACAAGGAAATGAATATCCATTTGCCCAAGTGATATTAATATTCCATGCTACCATAAAATCAAATCACAGCACAATTAAAACCTAAGACCTAAATTTGTTTTGGATGAGGAGATGCAAGGCTGCTTTTTCTTTTTCGATATGAAGACATACTGTTCATGCCAAAATGCAAAACAAACACCTGTCCAATTAGAACCTTTGGGGTGGAATTGTAGCTGGAGCTTGTCAGTAGCAACAGGAGCTGATGGAAGTGATGACAGAGTCTCTCACATTAAAATTATTTGCTGTGGAGCATCCAGCTGGTGGGACACTGCTGACTGTACATCCAGTTACACTTATTACTGACTGCAGTTTTAAATGAGCGTCCATACTGAATAAATGAATAAATAAACTGAAATAAGTAAATGAATAAATAAATAATAAATAACATGGATGAATAAATAAACTGAATAAATACTTGTTATCCAGGTGCAGTACCTTAAGCAGAACATATTTTACCATTTTAGAAATTCCATAAAAATGCATTGAATATACTTTTTTCAAATCACACTATTTAAACAGCTTTGAGGGGGAAAAAAACACTGAAAGTGATCTAGTGCCATGTCATTGTCATGACATTTTGACTTGACTTTTCTTTAGAAGACTTGATTTACCACTATCAATGCTTCGATTCAGTCTTGTTTGCTTCAGTTTACACCACTGTGATTATGTGTATGTGATAGCATGTATTAGAAGAAAAGGAAAAGGATAAACTTCACAATTCCGGATTAAAACCTTCATTCTAACCCAGACTGTCATCTCAGCAGTCCATTTATACTAAAATCATGATGTTGCAGAATTATTATTTCACAGCAAAAACAAATACCGAGTTAACATACAGTGTTTGTTTGGCTGCCTGTGAGGAAGCTGTGATGGCTTGTTAGCCTTTAAATCAGCTGAGTTGGCCGACCTTTAGAGCTGTGCAACAGACACATGAAACCACTTAGCACACACTGTTGTGAATTGGTCCATTTCTGTTTTTTTCTGGGGTTTGTGTCGTCACTCTATTGCTCCTTTTTACACTTGTCATTTTTACATTAACTGCATTGCACTGCTTTTGTCAGTCCAGAGGTGGTAATGAATGTTCAGCCTGACATCACACGAAGGCGGTGCCCACATTAGGGTCAGGAAAAGGGGTTTTATGAAGGAAAAGCTGACGTAGCAAAACACAAACTGGAGAAAAGCTGTTTATCTTGCTTTCTGCCTCACTCTTCTTATTTTCTACTAATTCTTCCACTTTCCATGACAGCGTTGTTTACATGAACACCAGATTCACGACAGCTTCCTGAGCTGTGGGGGTGTTATCTGTGCGCCAAGCCAGATGCCCTCTCTCTAGGTGGCCAACTACATAATGTACCTCCTCTGCCTCTTTCCACACAATGTGTCCACCACAATGTGTCCACTGGACTCCTAGACATACTGTAGAGCCACATTAGTGTGTCCTTCTTTTTTTTTTTTTTTTCATATGGCTGACATAAAAAGGAGGCCTCAGGTGTCTTCTCTTGATTGCTGTGAATCTGACATCATCAGTTCAACAACACCAGAAAGGCACCAAAAAGGCAACACCAGCAACATTCTTCTGCTTTTTTTTTTGCTTGTGGCACCTAACAATAATGTTTTCCAGCTCCCGATCCCCTTTGTGCAACTCTCCAAGGCATATCTTTGAAACCAAGATGTTTTTTATTCAGTTCTATTATTATTTTTATGAAACATGTTAGATATAATATTAGTGTGGTCATCCTGTGATCTATCAGCAGCTTCAAAGTAGAAAACACTGATTTAAAGTAAGATTTTGCACTAGCAGGCTGAGGCCACTGTGCAGAGAGCAGATGGTGTAATAAGACATACTGTAATAACAGTCACACTATCAGAGCTTCTGCCTGCATGAGACAGCGGCACAGTCATTATGGACCACGTATTTTTCTATGAAATTGCAGCAGTGTAAAATCTATGGACCATATATTTTCTACAGAATCGCTGCATTCTAAACTGATGTAATGCAGGTCATAGTGTCCTGGCTGTCTGCCTTTAAGTTCAAAGCTCTGCATTTCAAAAGAACTGAGTTGTTCAGTCAGCGAGAGGCTCATTTTGTCACCAAAACATGTACAGTATAAACAGGCTCAGTTGGTACAGCACAGTGTGTTCAGCACTGGGGTTAGGAGTTGAATTCACACAGGAGCTACCCAGGCTAAAAATCTAGACACGCACTGTACGCTCTGGTTAACATGTTTGCTCTGTAGCATACTGGTAAACACTCTGGACCGGGGTTTAAAAGTATGCTTACAATACAATAGATCTCCTGAAAAGTCTGACCTGCTTTTCAACTGTGATATAAACAGCCTGCACATTCATTTCAAATCATATTCAATTAAATTATGCAACTCCCAGTTGTATAAGGGAAGTGAACACAGCCCATCAAGCGTGATGTGATGAGGCTCGTTCTTCAATACCCGTGTTGTTGGGAAAACAAATGCGAATCAACAGACCAGTCCAGATAATGTCTCTAAAAGCCCAGTCACATGTCCTAAGAAGAGAAATCAGATAATTTTTTTTGTGTGTGTGTGTATGTTTATCCATGAGTATACATGTGAACATGCAGTAGAAGTACGATCAGGTGAATGTATGTTAAACGTGTGCTTTTATAAACATGATTGAATGCAGGAGGAAAAAGTGAAAAGGAATGGCTTTATACTGACATACAATAAACCCTCCACATATACAGCAATGGATGGCTGTCAGACCTGAAATGGGCTGAAAAGAGTGTTCTATTTGCTGTCAGACTGAGTTCCAGGGATTGGGGCAACTGTGGTTCAAGAGGTAGAGCGATCGACCCGTAACTGGGAGGCTGGCGGTTTGATTCCCGTTCTCCCCAGCCCACATGTCGAAGTATCCCTGGGCAAGACAGTGAACCCCAAGGCGCTGCAGATGGCTGCCTAGGTTCTGTCCCAGAGATAAATCCCTTGTGTGTGCAACATACTTGGTCAATAAAAGTGACCGTAATCTTAATCTAAGAAAGTCAGTTTGCAACAACAAATGACATTTCTGGTGAACTAAAAGGAAGGGTGGTTGTGGTGTCCACCCTGATGCAAACAGGACTGTCCTCTATATCAGGAAGCAAGCAAAACACACAGATTTATGCAAAATGGAACACAGAGCTGAGCTACAGTAGAAGAATTAGTAGCAGAGGTTGTTGTTGTTGTAGTATTACAGCTTTTACTGTATGATTGAAAGTACAACAAATCTCTTCTGTCACTCTGATCTCAGTTGATGTCTCAGCTGATGTTGTGTTACCAAGTGAGCAAGCCTATTTTATAAATGACAAGCGCACAACTCCCTTCATATCAACACTAATACAGTCGGTCGAAACCACATTTCTGCCACTAGCGACACATGTATGTTAGCCCTTCTCAGTCATTAGCATTCTGAGGTTTTATGGTCTTCATAAAGTTCACACTGTACATGTACCATTGCCCCAGGCACTTGAAGATGGACTGATGCATGACTGCATTGAGTGCAGTACAGTAGGGTACATAATATATACCATTATATTTATATAACAGAAGCTGTCTGCCATCTAGTGGCGAACAGTAATATTAGATTATATATTATTATTAGATTTTTTTATGTCAAACACCAACTCTCACACAAACACAGCAAGTGCAAGCATTCTTGTGGACATAAGGTGAAAATACAGTATATGGGTTGTACTATATAGACAGTAAATGAGAATCAAATTTTAGATTTATATAAAACGGATTTGGAACCAGCTTATTTTGTTTAAGCTAAAATGCACACTGAAAGTGAATTTTACAAAAGAAGTTCCTGATTATCACACCTCTGTGAAACACAGCTTGAGTTCAGAAGAAAGATTAACTTGATAACTGTAAAAATGTATCTCAAATTATGATTCATGTGTAAGAAATAATCTGATTAGTTGTACAACTCACAGGTATGCATGAAAGCATCAGATACATTAAAAGAAACCACAGCTGAGCTGTAGATCTGATAAGATCATACAATGCGACAGCCTAATCTAATCTAAGAACCGAAATAATAACATACTGTAACTTATTTTGTGAAAGTCAGTATTCAAACCCAATAAAACTTTCAAAATTCAAGCAAAATGTTGATCCATGTTATCAAAGGTTATTTAACATGACAAATCAAAGGAAAGTGGTTTTTAAAAAGTTTAGAAACTTTGCACATTTTTCCGCTCGAGAAAATATAAGGTGCCAGGGAGGTAAATGTTCTTCAAAGCCAAATGACCATATGGCCAAATGATGCCTCAAAGTACCAGCAAAATACAGTATCTTGAATCCCACTACAGAAGACACATTTAGATCTGGATTGGATCAGATGACCCAAACCAAATTCAAATAAGATTTGGTCATAAATGTGGGTGCAGGTACAAAATAGCTCCTGAATCCTTCAGTCTTTTTAAGGTTGCAGCTTCACGTTTGAGGTCATGGTGAGAATTCTGCAAAAGAAAGAAAAGGAGCATCAATATTCAGAAAGTCAAATGCATTCTGACTGCCCCGTGTACATTTTAACCATTTGGTTTCACCACAAAAGGTAGCCGGAGAAATTAAATAAAAAACACTTTTGTCATTTTTTCAGAGACATTCAGAGATTTAAAGATGGGAATGTAAGACCTTGTTATAGGGCATGTGGCTATAACAATCTTTAAAACATGGGGGGGACAATGATTCAGAGACAATGACCGCTCTGGGAGATCAACAAACTTATCACCCAGCTGGAAGGAGTGACTCTAGAAACCAGAGCAGACATCCTGGTAGCCACATTGAGATTGCCTGCCACCTGCTTCAACCGGACCACAGCATGGAGACTAGTGAGGACTGGTGAAGCTGCCATGCTACAGCGAGGAAGAGCCGCTAGAGATGTACCTCATTCAAGTACAGATGGTAGTGTGGGTGAATGGCTGGTCGGACCTGCTTCAACCGCACCACAGCATGGAGACTAGTGAGGACTGGTGAAGCTGCCATGCTACAGCGAGGAACAGCCGCTAGAGATGTACCTCATTCAAGTACAGATGGCAGTGTGGGCGAATGGCTGGTCGGCTGAGGGGACAGTCAACTGGGTTGTCCTCACCCTGGATGGCAGGACTCTGCAATAATCATGATTTTAATCCATTCATCATTGTGCTGCCTTTGTGTCTCCAGACTGTTTGTTACCTGCCTTGAGGTTTATCTGTTTATTTTTTCCCCCTGCTCCAACGAAGCCTTCTCCTCATCCTCTCCTGCCTTCTACCCTCTTATATGGATTCTTACTGCGCACACGGAACTGTTACCTCCGGACCTACACCATTCTCCATCAGACAACCACTCACCAGCCAGGTCGGTGCTCTCTTCTCCAATTCCCTTCTGCTCATCGTCACCTTCTCTTCAGCGTCAACCAACTCTGCACAACCAGCCAGTGAGTGACCTTCATGCTCCGTAACTCGGCCCAGCAACTACCCTGAACTCGCCATCCTGGTGTTGACACCCATCACCCTCTCCTCCTATACATATTCATAGTCATTGGTCTGGTCATTGAACTCTTTACCTTGTATAGCATGTAAAATAAAGAACTGCTTAAGCTGAAGTCAGCCATCTCAGTCTGCCTATCTGTCACACTGCCTCTGGGTAGCATGCAAACATAACAGAGAAAATCAATTTGTCAACTGATATTTTGATTTCCTATATGCAAATCATAATGGAGCAAATCAGGCCATATTCTTGTTTTTGTATCGTCTTAAACATCTGTTTTGCCTGCTATCAGCAGAAAATTACTGGATCCCAGCTACAGCTAAAAATCATTCTACAGATGTATTTTCATTATAAAAATATAAGTCCCAAAAAAATTAAAACTGTTTTCTTGGTTCTGTCTGGTTTTTTGTTTGTTTTGTTACTCCTGCTATCATTTTAGTGGTGAAATCAGGTATAACAGACACAAACCATGACAGCTACCCACCTTCATAGATTTCATAGTGTGCACATCTTCATAGTAATGGATAGGGTCATTTGGGTTGTTTGACTGAGGGTACCCAAAACCAGCAACATGGACCACGTCACAGTAGTTGAGAGCAACAAACACAGCGAGGATACCCATGGTAGGATGCACTGACTCCTGTAACAAACACAATTTAATGACAGCCCACTGCAAAGAAAATCTTTTAAAGCTCCTATGTGTATAATAAGAAATTTCCGTTATTGATGACCCCTACTTGTAGCATCAAATAAAAACCCTGAGCAGACAGCCAATACCTCAAAGAATGGGCTGGAAATATCACAAACACTGGACCAATTCTACTGGGACTGTTATTTTTCTACACGCAAAAACATAAAAATCACATAGAAATTCTACCCCTAGGGGTTTTTAACTAGTGTGAAAACTATATCATAGCTTTAGGAGGAGCTGACTTTTTCCCACTTTTTCATGGTCAGACTAAATTACAGATACAACATTTATAAAGCATGTGATTTTGCTTTTTAAAATATTTATTCCTATTGAATAATAAAAATATAAAAACAGATGCAAAGTAACCAGTGGTGTGCATATTTCAGCATGACGGAGGCACAGAGAGCAGCGAGGAGACAAACATAGACCATTTTACTATGTGCGCCCTCCTGTGTGCATATGGAAACCTTTGCTGAGTGTTATGGTTCATACATTAACTAACTATTATATTTTCTGTTTTAAAAATATGACAAGGAAAACCAAGTCCCTTGCATGTGTCACAAAGAGACTGAGACTCTTAAAACTTAAGCTGCCTTGTTTTCTTTTTGACACTGTATGATCTGTATCTTAAAATGAAAAATGATGATTCACACCAAGACTGTGTGGGGATGTTTGTTCTTTTTTTTGTTTAAAGGCAACTGACTTGATGAACGAGACTGTTTTACTGGCCTGTGTGTTAAAGTTTACCATGGTGCCACGCTTCAATGGTGATGGCGAGAACTGAATGCAGGCCGGTGTCTTTATTCAAGTTAATAATTGTACATCTGTTGGCATGGCTTAAGTGCATCATCATATTTCACCACTAGATGGTGATAGGAGGCAACAGAAGCTGCAGCCACAGGCCTTTACTTGTAGCTCATCAACACTGGCCTTAAAAATTCGACCAAACCTTTGGCCTCTTAAAGGTGTCTATGCAGTGACAGAACAACAACAACAACATCCTACGTATGCTTTGCTGTCTAATGTTCCACCCACTGACAGGTGCCATTGTAATTGAAGGGGGGAAAATTGTTGTGGCTGATATAAAGCAATAAAAGAATGAAGATTACCACAGAAGGTCAGAACACAAATGTTTACTACTACTACCTATCTTGTTGCATGTCTTTAACCCCCTCAACCAAAACATGCACACACACCTTTGCCCTAAAAGATATCTAGAATACATTTTTCTGCACTTTTCTTTCTTGTCACTTGTGATCTTGTGCGAATTCAGAAAAAAAGGGACATTGTCTGATTCCACTGACATCATTTTGTCTATTTTATAAACACAAAAAATAAAGCTAATGTGAGATTTATTAAGTTGAGACAAGTTTGTTCTGGTGTCCCTGTCAGGCCCTTCCTCTGGCTCTGCATTTTTTGACATTTCAAACACACCTCTGTCAATAATTATCCACATTGACCTGGAGATCTTGGAAAGTCTGTTTTTCTATCCCTTTACAAAATGCTGCGCGCTTTCCCAACAGACTTTTTATATCTCTGTCCTCTACTGCTTCCAGTGTTATCATCAAGTTTCCTCTGCAAGAGGCCCGTCTGCAAGGGAATTTCTATCATCCAGTCTCCCCGCTGTTGCATGTGCCTGTGTTTACAATGGCCTGTCTCTCTATATTCCACTAGCCAGGGCTTACTGCTGTCTGTTGTCAACTGACTACAGGTTTAGATAAAAAATTATGTATTACAATTATATTTTAATGTTATCTTATAGATTTTCATGCACTGCACATGTAAATATCTAGCTTCAAAAAAGCGATACAGTCTGCACCAGCTCTCCTAGAAAAATACAGTATATATATGCTTTCTCTTTAAAGGAATAGTTTGCCATTTTCAGAAAGACACTGTTTTGCTTTCAAGCAGAAATCATTACCCATTTCACTTTTGGATCCATAAAGACCCCCCATCTCCAACATTTTGGCTTCCCTGATAAGAAATGAATGAATAAAAGAGCATGTGTATGTGACAGTGTGTGTTTGTCTCTGTGGGCATATTGCCTGGATAAACTGCACGCTGAGTTAAAATTTACCTAAAGAGAGGTCAATGTATATAAATGTGTACCCCCCTGCAGTGATACTGAAGGTGACCTGCCTTGATAATGAGCTGAAAAAGCCTCTATCCTGTTCTTGCCTTTCGCTCTAAAACATTCAAACTGCTCAGTTTCAGTTGCTGTTGCACTGAGCATGCCCTGTCTTTTTTTTTTTTTTCTTAAATTCAGAAACTGATGAGCAGCTCGCAAAGGGACACAGCTGACATTCGGTGTGTATTAGCCTCATGTGTTCACCAGTAGACAGGTGAACAGCAGAGCTCTGCAGTGCCCAGCACACAGTTTGGGTGCAGGCCCATGGATTCCTGGTGACAGGAGGGCAAGTGAGGCTACATACTGTCACCACTGCAAACCAGACCTACTAAAGCTCAGCACAAGTCAGGGGAGACCTGTGTGAACACAAGAGTGCTATGTGTGTGTACTTGTGATTCAGCAATGTTGGCTGCAAAGAAGAAGAAACAAAGTGCGAGCATATGTGAGAGCTTGTGACTTATGTATATGTGTTGAGGGGGGGCCTTGTCTATCTGGCAGATGCATTAACTACAGGGGGTGGGGTGTGTGCAAAGAGGACATGATCAAAAGCTTTATGCCCACCTTACTCTCCTCGCTGCCTTCTCACTGCTCACTCTGCCCATGCACCAGTTACTTGTTTATACCACAGTCCAAAAGGGTAACACCCCCATCGCTCTTTGACAGAAAGGACTCGTGAGAGGGGAGCAAACAGAACCAAAACAAAACTTGGCTCAGGCCCATGTCAGAGACGATCCCACCAAAAACACAAGTACCACTTTGCAAATAGGATGCAGTAGGCCAATAAAAACTTCATTCAACATGAAAAATAGTCCAAGGCAAATCCAGTGTCTTTCGACATCTAGTACCCTGAGCCAAATAAGGAGCCATGGTTTAGTTGATTAAAAAAGAAAAGAAAAGCAAAACATCAGCAAATGTGTCATGTTCTGTCACTGCTCAAACACTGTATTTCAGCCACAGTTTTATGAGTTAGTTTACAGTTGTTTCCACTATTGTTTGTTGTGTTTTGGTGAGGCTGTACTGTTTCCTTTGTCCTTTACTTTCATATTTGTTTCATTCAGCCAAAAGTTACAAAACATGTTATATGAAACAAACTACCATAAACCCTGAAATAATGAAAAAGCAGTGACAACATCTAAACATTTTCTTGAGAAAAGAGCACTGGCAGAGAAAACAGAACTGCCCTTTTTCTACAGACAGGACATCTGGCTATTTTGGCTTTCCTTTAAAAGCCATTTATTTCCCTGACATTCACTGTGCAGCCTAAAGAACATGAGGAACTTATCTTGTAATGAGATGCCAGAATGCGAAGCATGTTTTCCAGTAATTGGATCCACAAAATCGCTACTGACCAAGCAGTGCCCCATCCAGTGAACTGTTTATCAGAGTGCTTAAGACACATTAAGTAGTTGTGGATTCCTCCAGCCTTGTTAACATTCATGTGAGAAGCAGTGAAGGGAACGAGGGAAAAGAAAGGAGGTATGGGAGAAAGGGAAACAACAGGAGAGAAGGTTCTAGTGGGAAGATTGCACTTGATGATGCCAGTCAGCATCAATGAGCTGCAACATAATAATAATGATAATCACCTTTATTTAGCCAAGTATGTTTGATTTGATTTGATTTGATTTATTCTTTCAAGCATATAAAAACAGTTGATATGACATCACACATAATTTTACACATATCCAACAAATGCTAATCCAATATCAATTTGCTTATACCTAGTACATGCTTGAATGGAGTAGGAGGAAGTCAGACTTATCCAGTCCTACCCCATGACATCATCTTACCATCATTGGTTTGCAAGCAGTAAATGATTCACTTCTACCCACACAAGTATACACACAAGGAATTAGTTTCCGGTACAGAACCGAGGCAGCCATCTGTGGCGCCAACTCAACCGATGGCTCTAACCATTGGGGGCAACTTGGGGGTTCAGTGTCTTGCCCAAGGACACTTCGACATGTGGACTGCAGGCACTGAGATTCAAACCTCCAACCCTCCGGTTGGGAGATGACCGCTTTACCCGCTGAACCACAAATCCCCCCCCACCACCACCACCACCAAACTGATTAGTTTGGTTTGGTTAGGGACAAGGTAACAATTAGGTTCCAGCCAAAACATCTAGTTCTAAAATCGCTGTATTCCTGTCTGCATATTCATGGTTCTTAAAACTGTGAAGTGGAAGCGACCCCTCACCTGTTTAGTGAAGTCCAGAGGGATGTGGAGAAGCCTGTCTGCAGTCTGCTGCAGAAAGTGGGGGTCCAGCACTCTGATATTACTGTCATCAGCAGACCAGATTTGGGGAGGGGGCTTCCAAAAGCCTTTCATGTTCTGGAATGAAAACATAAACAGCCCATTCACTTTACACTGCCCATTCAGTGCAGGAGTTTTCCACCAGTTTTCAGTCTCACCATTCTGCATCAAAGGTACAGTGCATGGAAGACAAACATGGAAGACAAAGTTGACCAACTAAAATGCTGCTACAAGAGGTAATACTTTTGCCAAGACAAATTCGTCCCACGTCCTGTATAAACACGATAAGGCGGAACATAGGTTGGAGGTTTGGGTGTGAGAGAGAGAGACAGAGAGAGACAGAGAGAGCTAGACAGTGAATGAGGAGAAGGAGCAGCCTCTGCAAGAATAAAGTGAATCAGCCAATTAAAAAATTAAATGTGATGTGTTTCATTGTGTTTACATTTTAAATTAGACCTGAAACTGGATTCATCTGGTAGTCAAATGTAGCTTCCATGTATAAATATATCAAACAGAATCAGATAAGAACCATTTATTTCCCTGAGATTCACTGTGCATTGTTTTCAAAATGAAAATTCAAGTACATAAACCACTGGATATCATGATATGTGTAACACCTCTAATACTGTAATTCCAGCTGTGGTGTAAAATGAACATGGGAGCAGCAGTTTGCTAGCATTTTTAAGCTCAATTTGCAGTGATCTCTGTGTAAAAGGGGATAACAATAGACAGAGACAGGAGACAGGATGTTGTGAAATTGAAGGCAACAAAGGTACACAAAGAGAGTAAAATATAGCTATTTTTGATTGGCACATTGAGTTCATTTACACAAACAGAGATGCAACTGAACCTATATCCCTCTTCAGACATGCACTGGAACCCTACAATCATCAAAACACTACCCAGCGGAGCTGTATGTGAGAACACAACTGTCGGAGTCAGCTAACCCAGACCTTCAGCGGACTTTTCCCTAGTAACATGGAGTGAGCCCATGTGAGAATGCAGCAGCGTATAGCCCTGAGTATTCACATGGAGCTAGTGCACGCATGGATGATGTTCAATTGTGTCGCCAGCATGAAACCAGAAGAAAACAAACATGTGATGGTGAAACAGAACAGTCATTTACAATGAAGATGCCAATGAAAATATCTAACCGGAGACAGGAAGAGATTCGGAAAATTCTGTTGTTAGGGGCCAGCACCTGAATTGTCAGACAAATTTAAGATACTGCAAGGGACTAAGTTGTGTATAACCAAATTACAAACTGGCTATGTAAGCCAGCCCCCCACTACCACCGCCTGTTGTAACTCCCATTGTGTGCTACATGTGGAAAAGGCAACAATGTCCAGACCTGGTTCCACAGACACAGTCTGGAGTTTATGTGTAAAAACAGCTTGACTTTCTCAAGCCTGAAGGCAAATAAACTGTTGTGCAAATTAGCAGGTAAATGACCCTGCAACTAGTGGTGGGAGGCTGAAGGTGCTGGGAGCTACAGTGAAAAATGTCTGCAATGGAAACTACATTCACTGAAGCTGAACCTTTAAGTATTTGTTCCAGATATGGATGGCTGGTGAAGGCTGGAAAAGAAGCTAAAAGAAGAGTGTCTATGTGAAGCAAGCAGAGAGGCAGAGAAAGAGTGAGATGGCAAACATGTGCATTTGAGTGACAGTGCTTTTTCAGCCATTCCTGTACCCTCTTCTCATTATAGAGGATCTCTTTGAGCCATCGTAGATCTTGCTGTTTGAAAGGCACCAGGACCACAAGTGCGCTGGGCTCCATTTGCTGTACAGTGTCGTGGGAGGCCGACTCGGGGTAGAACAACGTCATGGTGGTCTTGTTACCCACGTCATCCTCATAACCTCTCACTGGGGCACCATTCATCCTGACGTAGGGACAAGATAATACATTCAGGGACAAGAACATTCAGGTTTGTTTTACTAAGGATTTCCATTGTTGCCATCATTCCGCTTTTGTTTGTTCTAATTGTATTAAAAACGTGGAGTGTGGAGTTAGACTTGAAATTCCTAAATTACGCAATCCACATGTTTACTCAAGTCTTTGTTCTATTTCGCAAACCTGTCATGTCCCACAGTTGGTTTTCTGTAATGAAAATATGCCTTAAAATAATACTAATGAATGCTAAATAAATTAACACTAGAGTGTTAAGGGTTTAAAATTCAATATGTGCTTCAATCTGGAAACATCCCTACTTTATTATCTTTAACACATTCAGTATATAACAGCTTCTAAAAAGCACATAAGTCATTCCCTGACAAAATGCAGTAGCACTGACTGAGACAGTGTGTGGTTAAATGACTAGTCAGCACCTTGGAAACACAAGTTTCGATAGGCATAGTTTAGCCATGTTTCTATGACAGAACCAGTCAGATGACATCAAACTCTCAGGCACACTTTGAATTCTGAATGTCAGTAACCTTCCTCTACTTGGCCAGGAAATGATTAGCCTCTGAGAAGAGAGGTGGAGGTGCAATGTGGCTGGGGCAAATTCTAGGAGGAGGTATGGCACAGGTGTATAAACTTATATAATCTCAGAATGCATGCTCATGCCAAAGCTGTAAAGGCAGATTTGCCATGCCTTTGTCCCTGAGTAAACTAAATGATTTCTTTTCTCCTTTGATGAACCCACAACTTTGCTACATGGTGAGGACGGGTCTGTGTCAGGGTCAGACTGTCACACAGTCGGATAATGTCCATCATTAGTCAGCAGCCTAGTGAATTCACATTCTAGTTTTAGAGGTGGTGGGGGTGAGGGGTCACCATACTGCCTTTTTAAGTTCATGCAGCAAGAATCTGTCTGTTCCTGATTTCTATGAAGGGAGTTACAAAAAGATTTGGGTTTAATGTGTCACCTTTTGTAATAGTATCTGAAAACTAGACAGCACTCAGAGAGTGCAGACCTTCACCAGGGGCAATTCAATTTCCCCATAAAAGCTCCCATAATAGTTTGACCCTCATAATATGATTGCTTGACCGTGGAAACCTACTAATACTAATATCATTACTAGTTTGAAAGTTATTCAAGAAAAACATTAGACATGACAGATAATCAGTCACCGGTTTAGGAGCAAAATGGGGACTTCAGTAAGTGAACTGTGGACAAAGAGGTGATGATGTCACGTTCTGGAAGTCTGTGTTCTGCTTGTTTAACAGCTGTTTGATAAACTGCTCATACAGTCTTGTTGCTGGCTGATTGTTACACTATAGAGTGATACTTCCCATCCTGTGCTAAAGCTGCCATCAGGCTCTCACTGCATAGGATAGATGTTTCCTCTGGGCTGTTGTCTCACTGGGCTCCTTCAGTCCCTGTCTCACACAGCGAGGTGTACTGAGTAACAGCACTCGGTTTCCACTGACAATGAATGGGCAGCTGTCACTGACCCAGAGATGTGTCAGCAACCTTTCCAGCACTCACAATGATGAATAATCTTTAAAAAGATTCCTGTATCCAAACTGTGATACGAATCAGCACCAAAATCGAATCAATATTCCGTGGGCCATACCCTACCTCTCCAAAAAAAAAAAATCATCAAAATCTGTTCATTACTTTTTGAGTTATGCTGTTAACAATGAAATAAACACTGGCAAAATCATAACCCCCGCTCTTGGCAGAGATAAGAAACAATCACCCTGTAAAAATGGATAGCTTGGATGTTTACCCTGTTGTATTCCACGTCCTATGTACATGCATCAATTAGTCACAGTTGTAGTAGCAGTAGTGTGGAGGTATCATTGCTTACCGAATGACCACGTCGTAATTGTTGATCGTGCTTCCCAAGGAACTGTTTTTAATGGTAAAGCCATTACCTATCACTGCACAAGTTTTGCATTGGAGCCTGAGGAGAAACACATGCAGACACACACACACCTGAAATGTGACGCATCCAATGTTCGTCCACTCTTCCCAGATTAACTTTTATTGTTTGACATGAATAACAGTTACATGTTGTTAGGCCCTATAATTAGTTATATTAATTAGCAACATTTTCAGTAAGAAACCAAAATTGTGCCAACAAATGAAGCTAATCTTAATCTGTGATTCATTACGAAGTCAGAGAGTTAACTCATGTTCTTTAGTAGGGGAACTTTTTGTTTATTAATAATTAAATTTAATTAGATATGTTTACCTGTAAATTGTTGTTGTGTGTGTGAAATAAGTTCACAGAAGTTGAAATTGTAAGTTGGATATACTAAAGGGCAACCTAAGAAATTATGCAAAACTTCTGTTGCCTTGAGATGTCAGGATTTCTCTCTTTTTTTAAAATAGTGTTTTACTGTTTACAAGTACAGCTGCAAACATAATGCCACCCTATTTAGAGAAATACAGTTAATGAGACGTTACTCATTACTAGAGCAAAAATACCCAATGTGCTTTAGGAAATTAGATAAAAAAATTAGGGTAAAGTACCCATAATTAGAGACCTGTACATATATATATAATACAATGTACACCTGCAGGCATAGCACTGAGGGTTTATTGTCCAATCATACTGTCATGGGCCAAGTGCTAGTCAGAGTGACAGTCCGGGGTAAGAAACTGTCCTTGTGCCTGGTTGTCTTGGCACACAGTGATGTGTAGCGCCATTCAGAGGGGAGGAGTCCAAACAGTTTGTCCAGGGGGTCTGCAGAAATCCTTTCCGCCCTCCTTTTGATCCATGAGGTGTACAGGTCCTCCATGGAGGGCAGGCTCACACTAAGTCCACTGTCATCTCCACTGTTTTGAGTGTGTGCCGCTCTAGGTTGTTGCAGCTACACCATAGGACCAGCTGCTCAACCTCCTTCTCTGTAGGCTGACTCGTCATCAACTCAGATGAGTCCAATAACCATTGTATCATCAGCAAACTTTAGGAACTTGATAGAGGGGTCCTTCGAGATGCAGTCGCTGGTGTAGAGTGAAAACAGCAGAGGGGAGAGCACACATCCCTGGGGGGCGCCTGGGCTTATTGTCCGGGTGCTGGATGTGGTTTTCCCCAGCCTCACCTGCTGCTCCCTGTCTGTCAGAAAGCTCGTAATCCATTGACAGGTGGGGGCAGGCACAGTGA